CGAGGGGGTAGGGGAGCCCCCCCCGACTCGAAACCCACTCCCCGCTCCCAAAGCCCCCTCCCCGATCGGCCACGGCCGCGGCCGAAAGTTCTCGGCCGGAGCGGCCGTGGCCGGGGGGTCCAGTCCACGGCCGGTGGCCGCGGCTACGACCGAACTCGGCCGCGGCCAGGGGGAAACACAGCTGTCAGATTCGTCAGGCGATTGAATTGGTTGGCCGCTTAGCGGTGCAGCCCCCACTTGCATGAGGATGAGGGTATGCTCACGCGTGCGACAGGTGTGGGATTCGTGAGGGGCATGTTTTTTCTCATTAATAAACTTAAAGAGGTGCTGGATAACCAAGAAAAAGAACAAACAACGTAGTAACTGTTTCAGTGTGTGAACTACCTTCCTGCAAACAGGAATTTCTGAAAGGCCTTCCACGCATTCAGACCCCGAATTCGGATCTCAGGGTCAAATGCCCAGGTCAAGAAAAGGCCCAATTCGTCAAACTCAGTAAAGTCACAATCGGGTACCTCAGCAGTCTGGTCCAACAGGCACCCAGCAAACAGTCACGTCTCAGGGACAAGAGTCACGTCCCATAATAAAAAGCCGTTCAGAAGAGTCACATCCCACGAGTGAAAAGGCAGATTCAGAAAAGTCGTGACCCACAGGAAGGAGTCACTGTCCACAGTCAAAAGTCATGTTCACAAGTGAAAAGTCATGACTCAAAGGCCCAAGCAGCAGCGGTCCAATGGAAATTCGGGAAGGTTCCAGGCCTTGACATTCAGAAGCAGACAGGCCGTGGGGATGTGGACCATGTGGTACCGGAACCAGTCAGGACCCAAGAAACAGAGGCTGGCACCAGTTGAAGTGCAAACCAAGACTACAAAAGGAAAGGCCAGCGTCACATTGGGGCAGATTGGTCATTTGCAAAGAGTGTGGAAGTGCAAAGAGTGTGGAAGCGCTAATGTGAGGGGCAGAGCGCTGAGGCCAGAGTGCTGCGCTAAGTGAGGGAGAGAAGAGAAGATAGCGCTGGCAGGGAGAAGGCAGCCATAGCTTCGCAGCCTGCGTCAGTGCAGAAGTGTTAATGCTAGTTGTTAGTAGTAGACTCCAAAGGGGTTGACAGTGGGTGTATTCAGAGTAGATATTTGAGTAGAAGTTAAGTGTGTATGCATGTAGGGAGAGAAGATACAGCGAGGTCATAAGCTAGGGAGAAGACCAGCAAGGAGGGGTGATACAACAGAGGGAGAAGAGCAGTGGGAGAAGAGAATCTTACCTGAGAGTTTGTGCTGGATATTGGTTACCTTTGACATGCGCTGATGAGCGCTGGTGACTTGGAACTCGTATTGCTCTAGTCTTGTGTAACACGTTGGAATTCATAAGCTGCGCTATCTGGTCTTAATCTCTCTGGTTTATCAGTGTGAACTTTGGGTGATCTCATACATGCTTGTGGTGTGAATATGTGCACTCAATGGTGTTGAACTGTGAGGGTCGTTGGATTTCAAAGAAACCTTCTCTACGAAAACAGACACTGAGACATTTTGTAAATGAGGGAGTGGGCGGACAGAAGGGCTTATTGCACAAAACCTTCTATCCAGTGGGTGGGAAAAATAACGGTACGGATGGGACAGTGGCAACAAGATGCTCGGTAGCCAAGGTGCGGTGAAACAGTGCTTGTTTTTTTTGCGTTCGAGGGAGGTGGCCATTTAATAGTGTGACACGTGAGGAACGTGACTGGTATCAGTGGTATGTGACTTTGGGGAAAAAAGTGCCGCAGATCCCAAAATCACTTTTGGTGTTATTTTTGCACCCTGGCTAGGCCAGTAATGGCGGGAAAGTGTTTTGCATGGTGCAAAAATGACGCCTAAAGTGATTTTGGGGCCCGCGGCACCTTTTTCCCCGTTTGGGGGGAAATGAATACAAAAGTTCCGTCACGGGGAGGTTTTATGACTTGTGATTTCCCAAAAATTTAACGGTTAACTAGGCGGGAGTCACAGAAAAGACTGAATTCTAATTGCACTAGTATGGGCCAAAATACAGTTTGCAATTGCACTTTGGGCACCCTACCTACCTGCCCAGAAAGCTGGGTTGTGTACACATTGCTCGAACTGCAATTTATTCGAAACTGTATCTTGGCCCATACTGCAATTATAACTCGTTTTTGTGACTCCCGTGTAGTTTCCCCCAAATTTAATCAGGCGGTGAATAGCCAAGAGTAAGAAAGGGAATGTAGCTTAAGTGTGTCAACCACCATGATCCTGGAAACGGGAAAGAAACTTCTAGTCTTCTGCAAATGAGGTGTGGGTGGACCAGTGAGCTTATCCCACAAAAGCCTTCAGAATTCTTGGAACCTCCTATTCAATGGCAGTCTATCCCATCCCACGAGGATCAGGCATACTCCTAAGGGACAAGTTTCCTTGTCCCTATTGCATACTCCGCCAGTCCGGGGCTACTTTCTCCTGTATCACGTACCTCATGTCTACCTCCCTCGTTGCCACACATCAAACCCACTCACGGCCTCTCTCTCTCTCTCTCTCTCTCTCTCTCTCTCTCTCTCTCTCTCTCTCTCTCTCTGTGTGTGTGTCACACACACACACACACAGAGAGAGAGAGAGAGAGAGAGAGAGAGAGAGAGAGAGAGAGAGAGAGAGAGAGAGAGNGAGAGAGAGAGAGAGAGAGAGAGAGAGAGAGAGAGAGAGAGAGAGAGAGAGAGAGAGAGAGAGAGAGAGAGAGAGAGAGAGAGAGAGAGGAATAAAAGCGGCCCCAGATTGGTCAAATGGAGAAGAAGGAAAAATTGCTTTGCCAATCAATTCACACAGAGCCCTGGAGTTTATATAATGCCAAATTGCCTATCAATTCACACAGAACCCTGGAGTTTATATGCCAAATTGCCAATCAATCCACACAACACCCTGGAGTTTATATCCCCTCCACTCGGTATCAATCGACCTCGCACCTTATTGCACGGACTATGAGAGTGCCCCCTGTTCCTTGTTCCCCTTACTTCTTGAGGATTCTTGTTTCTGGACAGTGTCAATTGCGTCGATCGTGTGTGGCTCGTGCGACTCCAGGACCATTAGTCATGACAACCACAGGTTCCACACCGCTGGAGCAAAATCCATATGGTTAATCCATTACACTTAACTGCACGGCGCACGCCATTGCAGCCATGCGCATCGGAGCTGGTCACACTTCAGGTCAGATGCATCATCGAAAGTGAATTGTCACCAGTGTGAGTCGGTCATTGACACTACTCAAGAGCCCTGAACTATTTGCACCCCTCACTTCCCATCCCTTTGATGGTTCCCCTGGGGTAGACGTCCGTCAGCATCCACCATGACAATCACTGCTCAGTCGATAAACAACCTTGTCTAGACTCTCGAGTGACTTCATCACAACCATTGGGGTAAAAAACAAGACGGACGTCACAACCGTACGAGGCTTGAAATGTACGGACATGTCAACGAGTGACAAGTTGACAACAACACTGCAAATGTCAGACCCCCTTCACAACCTCGCTCGCCCACTTCAAATAAACCCGTAGCCCTTTGAAAACCGGCGAGTCACCGACCCTCTCCTGCCCATACCTGATCTCCATTTGTCCTTATCTACTTCTCAATTGATAAAGTGAATACTCCAGTATTGCGCCCACCGCCCTCCCTAGTTTTGACGCTATCTATGACTGTCACTTTCACGATCGAGATGGCACAGTCACACAGGTACACACACAGTGACACAGACGCACACACACACGAACATGACAACAAACATACAGATAGGTAGTAGAGAGGAGAGAGAGAGAGAGAGAGAGAGAGAGAGAGAGAGAGAGAGAGAGAGAGAGAGAGAGAGAGAGAGAGTGACGACACTAGCATTAGCCTTTAGGATAGTCAAGAGAGTGACGTCTCAGCGGTTGAGACTCGGTTCGTGTGCGAGTGAAGTTATGAGCCTGGCACACGTGATGGTGAAGGGGCGCTTTCTGCGGGCGTTGGGCAGTACTTGTTTATCATTGCTCGGACATCCGGAGCGACGACCGACTTGTCGATCACATGCACGATGACATGCGGCGTGGAGACGACGTGGAAACCATCCGGCAGGACCTGAGCGTTGTCAACGAATAGACCGCGCTGCGCAGAAGCATACTTGGACGGCCCTTCGCTGACTGCCAGCTGGTGAGATCCCCCTCGCAGTGCTGGAAGATGAATCTGTCCGCCAGACTGCTGGATACTTAGCCGCAAATCAGCCTCCTCAAAACGCCCTGGCAAGGCACAATACTTCAGATTCATGGTCATTACTTGCTCCATCTCCTGTCCACTTAGACAAGAAGAGAGCCTGTGTAGGCAGGCCGCCACCACCTCGTTGGTAGGTGCCAAAACTGTCAGTCCTCCCCCAGCACTCCTCTGCATCTCTAGAGTCCTTAACGCCTCCGATGAGCTCCTCAGCATCTCCACATACATGGACAAATTGTAACGCGAAGCAGACTGGTCAATCAAGTCTGGAAGTGATGGCCGACCTGGTTGTGCCACGACCGTCGAGATAAGTGCTGCCGCCAATATCGCAGCAATCATCCTCAAGCTTGACAAAGTGCCCATCATCTTCACCATCTCCCCTCTCCCTCTCTCTCTCTCTCTCTCTCTCTCTCTCTCTCTCTCTCTCTCTCTCTCTCTCTCTCTCTCTCAAGCACACACACACACGTATGCGCGTGTTTTGGCCGCCAAGACGCTCAGCTTCGGGCAAAGGCAGGAGGCACAGCTTCCTCTGTCTCACTGTGGGGTTCGCGGTGTCTGGTCGCTGTCCTGATCACTGTCTTTCACACTGCACTCATCGTCACAGAGACAAGACAATAGGTTTCGGTCTGTTGAATGCTGGATGTCCGAGGGACATTACAATGAAGTGACGCCTTTGCACGCGGACATCACAACGTAACATCTCGTGGACGTCCATCGACTTTATAGCTCACGTCATGCTGTCGCGCTATATGGCAGGCAACTCGGTTATCCCGATCCCCGATCTTGCCCAGGTTGATGAGTTACACCCACCGTTTTTTTTAAATAATTTGGGCAAAAAAAAAGAAGTAAATTTAGGCCACTAAATTTACTACTAAATGTTGCCGTTGCGTAGCCAGAAGTGAGAAAAGTAGGCCACGCCGGGGCGCTCGAGGCGGAACTAAATCTCCAGGGCAAATCCCGCTAGCAGCGCTGTCTTTCCCCAATGCCCGAATCTCCACAAACAAGTCCAGATTCGGGCGCTGAGGAAACTCAACGCTCCTACCGTTGTGTCACTTCGCCCGAGGCTGCATTGGTTCCTGCCTTTCGAAGCGAGCGGTCAACATCTAGATTCTATAATAATTGCTTCTTTTTTTTTTTTTTTTTTTCCCCAAAACCGGAAAGGGGAGGCCGGGGAATCCCTCCACAAACAACCCTGAAGAGACCTCTGGGAGCATTACCCAGTATTATATGTGCAGGTGATGAAATAAAGTCCAGCAACAGAATTGGTCAAATCGAGACAGCTGTCCTGACTAGTGAAACGGTATTCACCAGTTAGCAGTAGCTGCTGCAGATCCCAGGGTTCGATCCCTAGTCAGTGATTCCAAGCGGAATTTTGTCTGTTTTCGCACCACAACCTTACCTGTGTATAGTATCAGACTATCAGTGTCAAGCCTTAGAGCTGAACCCGTGACCTGTGTGTATTTGTAACAGTGCTAGACTGTCGTAGGGTCCAGAGGTCGCAGGGGTTGGATCTGTAGACCTGTCGAGCAGGAGCCTTAGTCAGGTCTAGACGTCGTAGCTGTCCTTTTCCCGAAAGGTCACGAAAGGTCAAGGTCGTAGCTGCTATAGTCCAGAAGGGTCAGAGTGGTAGCTGCTACAGTCACGAAAGGCCAAGTCTACGGCCTTCCGGAAGGTCCCAGTAGTGGCCTTTCGAAGTTGCCCACGTTTAGGCAGCGGCAAGTGGCCAAGAGGTGAGGCAAGTGGGCAAGTGGTGGAAGTCTACCGTGCTGAGTCAACAGTCCCAGTTTCCAGTCAGTCAAGCAAAATCAATGTATCTCAAATAAAAATGAAGAATCAAGCTGAGTCAACGGTCCCAGTTTCCAGTCAGTCAAGCAAGTACCGCATGTGACTTTGTGCACTTGGGGCATGGGGAAAGGGGCAGACCAACAAGCTGCAGAAGTAAAAATCAAGAGGCAGCGCCCAGCCATTCATTCATTCCTGGGTGACCCATGCGGAAGCGCTGCCACAGCGACTTGTGCGAGGAGGTCTGCAGTGAGCCCGAAGACGAAGTGGGCAAGGAAGACAAAGCTTAGCCATAGCGATAGGGTAGAGGCGGCCATAGCCGCCATAGCTGTACTTGGTGTTCAGTGCGTGTGTGTGTGAGTGTTCAGGAGGACGCGTGTGGGATATCCAGGGTGATCCACTGTATGCGAACAGAGAGTTGTATGGGCGCTATATCGCCATAGCCATTGGAAGTGAACTCGAATCTGGGTTGCCATATCTCCGAGTACTGTGTGGGCGCATGTTGCCAGTTTGCTGTGCTACTGTTTGTATGCATGTAAAGTGTGAATGAAAGCAAGTCTGATTGCATTGGTATCGGAGCTGGTACCCGCTATTCCATGCGCGCCGTCGTGTGCAGGGAGTGATGCGCCATAGCTGAGGTGGCCGCCAAGAGAAGAAGTCCGCCATAGCGGACCTGGAGGTTGGAGAAGCCCCTGCGCACCTGGAGAAAGGACCACGATGAAGAAGAAGACAGACACAGAGAGAGAGAGAGAGAGAGAGAGAGAGAGAGAGAGAGAGAGAGAGAGAGAGAGAGAGAGAGAGAGAG